GTCAGATAGCCTCACCAGGTATTGTTCTTATATGGTGTACATTACACATATGTGCTAACGGATATTAATAAACTTGACACTATGAGACAACAACACGAGCAAAGTAACGTAATCAATGGAAAATAAAAAATAAGCAGCTACACATAAATCGTTAACAACATATGAGTAAATTATGCTATTCTTACTATAAAAATCCAGGAAACAATGTGGTTTGACATGATCAATGGAGAAGTGAAAAATAAAATTTGTAGCAAGCAACGGAAATACGTCATGCTCAGAGAATAGTATATACTTGGTTCTGTAGTCTGTGAAGCAACGGTTTATTTCGAGCCAGTTTTTGTGGCTGTCTTTTATTTTCAACCTCCATCACTTCATTGTTAGGTCTCGTAAAGGAATGATACATGGATAAAAGTAGTGAAAATAGTAGTTTATGGGACAAATTTACACACTAAGCACAGGAGAAGAAACACATATGTTTTCGGTGTTTTCACTTGATAAAACTGGCATATTGGAAATTACATAACAGAAAGACAACAATAAATAAAAAAAGAGGAATAAGTCTGAAAAACTTTGTCGGCTAAGAGATGAAACTAGGCATATTTCGCATATGGGTAGAAACATCTTTGCGTATTCACATTTGACCCCTTATATTAAGCGAGTCAATCATGAGTGTTTAAATCCCGAATCGTACAGAAAGACGCAAAGGAAATGCAGATTAGAAAAGCGAAGTTATTTACGTATAGCAATATGCAGAAGACGTAAAACAAGGTTAAAAGTTCGCACATCGACATCACTTCAGACAATCTGCCGAGCAGCGCTACGTTCGGAAATCTCGCAAACACCATACACTATATGCATAAATTTTGGTTACGTTAGATAAATTTAAATAGTAGTAAACAATTCAAAGAAACTATAATAAGGTAAAAAATGTCGGTTGATCTACAACTTACCGGAACCTTCAGTGTATGATAGGAAACAAAATAATGTAAGTGTTTGCAAAAGATGAACAGTTTTAATTAGACAATGATACTTAAGTGACTCCACACATACTACTACCAAGTTTTACTATCACCACTACTGGGTTTTTTTACTTAACTCTTCCATAGGGAATACTTGACACTGAGTAAGTTGTAATTCAGTATGCATAACAAATACAGCTAAATGTGTTGGCGAATTTCAAAACCTCTATGACCGGCTTAAGGACTTGGAGAATAATTAAAACGAATAATTACAGCACGAGGAATAAAAGCACTGCTTTAAAACCTGCTAATACTGGGCTCGAAGAGTAGTTAAAACCTTGTCACTACCACAATTGAGAAAACAAAGTTGATCATACTCCACTTATATAAGGCACTAATTAACAAGCACAACAAACCTTGTACTATGTGATATGTAGCGGTGTGGTGTTCCCAATAATCGGTGTTGAGTATGAATTCCAGTGGAAACACCATCATCAATCATTTAGATGTAGGTTCATATACACGACGACTTCTGACTGAGATAGCACGCACCCTTGCATTCTACTGATGGCCACCATCTGAAAAAGGCATCTTTAAAGCATCTCTAAAACAACCCCCATGACAACAAAGATAATAATATTGGATCAGCAAAAAACGATGAAATCCAAAGTCTCAGAAAATCAGCTCACTAAGTTTTTACATATGAACACACTACCAACACCATCATGAACAGTGAATAATCGAAAACTAGGGAACTGAATCAATAAAACCGGCTTTCGATTGTGAGTTAAGTAACCCGACAAAATATTTAAACGTAAACTGTTATCAAGACTTTTAAATTCGCCTAGTCAACTAGATCGCAAGTGTTGTATCCGGTCCGAATCCCATGTGAAGAGGGACGGTTGGGCGTGGGGCTAGCAACCCCACACCACTAAACTTAGCGAACTCCTAGACAAACTTCAATGCACAGAAAGTATATTAAGAATAAAAAAAATTCAAATAACAATCTCATTCTTCGTTAGAGTCAGAAAGGCGAATAACACAGCGGGTTGGCAAAAGCCTTCGAGAAGCCAGTCAGCAAGTCAATGTGTCTTATCTCGATGAAATCAAGAATAAGAATGGGGAAGTGGAATGTCCGTACAATATACAAGACTGGGAAGGCTGCTCAGGTAGCCAAAGAAAGGCGAAGATATGGCATAGAAGCGATGGATATCTGCGAGAGCAGATGGGATGGATGTGGACTATCAAAATTGTCAACTGAAGAGTCAGTAATCTACTCCGGCCACCCAGACGACAACCACGAGCACACAGAGGCAGTGAAAGGTTATCATGATGTCATCAGTGGCAGCCAAAGCCCTAATTCAGTGGGGACCAATTTCATCCAGGATCTTGACAGCAAGATTCAACTCAAAAGGAAGGAAGGTCACAATTATCTAATGCTACGCAACTACAAACAACTCTGAACAAGAGAAGAAGCAAGACTTTTACAGACAACTACAAACAGTAATGGACAACATCACAAATAGTGACATTAAAATCCTCATGGATGATATGAGTGCCAACCGAGATAGGAGCAGATAATACAGAAAGAAAACTCATCATGAGTCGAGAGGCACTCGGAGAAATGAATGGGAATGGAGAACTCTTCGCAGACTTCCGCACCTTCAATGATTTCGTTGTCAGAGTCAGTGTATACAAGCACAAGTATACACACAAAGCAACACGGATTTTGCCTGACGGACAAACCAGACAGATTTCATCTCAATGCTGCTCAAGGAAGTGGAGACGCAGCCTGCTAGATACAAAGGCGAGAAGGGGAGCAGATGTGGGCTCACATCATCATCTAGTTCAAGAAACCACCCTGACAACAACTGGAAACAGGCCACAATTCAAGTTCAACATTCAGAAACTGAAGGACAAAACCACAGGGTAGGCTTTCACTGCAGATATCAGAGCAAAGTCGGATACACTACTTGGCATAACTGAGAACACCTGTGTGGAAGAACATTGGAAGTCTCTGAAGGCAATATTCAAGGAAACGTGTACAACTTTTCTAAGAAGAAAGAAGAGACAAGATAAAGAATGGCTCTCAACAGATACCTGGAAGCTAATCGAGGAGAAAAGGGTGGTGGAAGAGATGACTCAATGCGGAGATGAAGGACGGAAGGAGAAGCTGAGTTCAAGGTACACGGCGCCGAATAGACAAGTGAAGAAGAGTGCTAAGAAAGACAAAAGTTAATTCTACAATACACTGGCCGGCAATTGAAGCAGAACAGGCAGGTAGGCCTCAGGCGAAAGAAACCTCAGGATACTATATCAGATAACGAAGTCTCTATCCGGGAAGAGATCAACCCAGATGATGAAACCAATAAAGGATACTCAAGGGAACCCGATTACCAAGGTGGAGAAACAAATAAAACAATGAGCTGATCACTTTAAAGGACTCGTGAATCGACCATCATCTGCAACTCGCCCATAAATATACCACCACCAACAGCACGCACAGAACCGCCAGTGGACACCGATCCTCCAAAGAAAGAAAAAATCCTGAATGCAATCAAGCTACTGAAGGCTAGGAAAGCAGCAGGACCAGACAGAATTCACCCTGAAACACTGAAAACAGACTCAGAGACTGCGGCAGATGTTCTCAGACCATTACTGCAAAACGTTTGGAAGAAAGACTACCTCGTCAAGATGACAAAGGGTGACTTGGGTCTGTGCAAGAACTGGCGTGGAATCATGCTCTTGTCCACGCAAAGTAAAATACTAAGTCGCATCATCCTGGAGAGAATAAAGAATGCATTGAGTACAGAACTCCGTTAGCCCAGAACAAGCTGGATTCAGGAAAGGCAAATCATGTGCTAATCAAATTGCAAGTCTACGCATCGTCATCGAACAAAGCATAGAATGACAGTCAAACCTCTACATCAACTTCCTCAACGCCTTCGACAGCGTTGACAGTAATTTGGAAACTACTTCAACACTATGGCGTGCAGTGCCAGTCTTCATCAATCTCATTAAACGCCGGTGCCACCTGTCAGAAGATCCACAACGGAAAACTCATCAAGGTGTTCAAAATGAATACAGGGGTGAAACAAGGCCTATTATCACCAATAATGTGCTTAATTGTGGTGGACTGGATTATGCGTCAGACTGTGGGGAGCAAGGAGTCAGGAATACGTTGGACAACCGGTAGCAAGACTTTAGATCTGAATTTCGCAGATGACATGTGTCAAATGTCACACAAACTCGAAAACTTACAAGCGAAAACCAACAAACTGGCTGAAGAGGTAGCGAAGACAGGACTGCAGGTGAACACAGAGAAGACGGAGGCGATGAAGATAGCCAACGCAACAACAGAAACAGCCGGAATCAGTCACCATCAACCGGAGAGATTTTACGGAGATTACTTCCTTCACTGATCTAGGCAGCATTGTTTCCACCACAGGCAGGTGGAACGGATGAAGATGTCAAAGCCAAAATCGGAAGGCTAAGACACACCTTCATCAACCTGAAGTCAGTTTGGAAATCCTCTACACTCAGCATGAACAACAAGTTCGAATTTTCAATACCATTGTCAAGTCGGTCCTTTTATGCGGGTCAGAAACTCGGTGCTTAACGAAAAGCATTTCCAACAGGATGCTGAAGATCAAATGACCAGAAAGAATTAGTAGCCAGAAACTCGGGGAACAAACCAACCAAGAGCCGATTGCTCAACAAATTTGTAAGAGAAAATAGAGACGGGTCGGGAATAGATTGAGGAGACCGTCGAATGACATTGCGCGCCAGGCCATCGAGTGGAATCCAGATAGGAAGCAAAGAGTGGGTCGTCCTAGGGTCACATGGAGAACGTCGTGTGAGGAAGAGATGAGAGTTTGGGCAATCGTAGACCCGGCTGAAGAGGATGGCAGGAAATAGAAGAAAGTGGAGATGTGCTGTTGAAGCCTTATGTTCCACTCGGAATCCAAGGGAATAATAATATATAATTATATATTACGACTGTTAATTGGAGGAAGAGTTCGCATTAGGAATGAAATGAGCAAAATGCAAGAAGCGAATGTATTTGACCATGTCTTTATTACTCACAAAGCTTCACACTTTTTAGGTACATGGTTACAGTTATAATAATTTGACCTGAGGTGATTTTAGCTGTACATACAGTGATGTTCCAAACCTCAGCAAACAAGTTGTTACATTTAACCCTAGCAGTGTTTCAAACCAATTCCACTTTTTCCTTATGTATAAGTCCTAATTAATATGAATGAAGAAACCATATTCATTCTAACTGGCCGCAAATTACGAAGAATATCTTCATTGACCCGTATTACTTTAATACACGACAAGCATATGACTGACAACTCGGATACCATTCCAATAATGAAAAGACAAAATATACCAGGAAAGTACGACATATTCCTACAGGAAAAAGGAGAATGACTAGGAACTACGGATACTTATATGTTAGTTTTGTACGAGCAGTAACTTGCAGGTTCGTGCAAAAAATTATGTTTTGACTAGTTATTAGTATATCAAAAAGGCATTGACACAACCTTTGATTTAGGTTATTGCTGAATGTTTAGTCCATAGCCAAAATAAAAGACACTCCCTTATTAGGTTTCTTGTGAGTCCTAAAAGTGAACCCTTAATTTTTCCCAAAACTTTGATAATATACTCCACTTTTTAAATGTTTTTTTCGATTTAAACAACTAAATAAATGAAATACATCTTATTATAAGTGACTTATCTTAAACGTTTATGTTGTGGAAAAACAGTAGTAATGAGACTAAGCGTAGGTTGTACGGTGATAACAATAAGCTGATCGATGAGATCGCCAAACTTCTCTAGTCGAGTCACTTAAGACATATATGCAGTTTCAACAGATTCATTATTGAAGAAAGAATATTCTTTTCGATAACTTCCTCATCAGGTTCTACAGCTATATATATCCATTATAATGACAATGATTGTTATTGACAACAGTAGTTTTTAAAAGGAGTAACATCGGATCATTTAGATCAGAATTCCTATAATTATCTACAATTAATATAAATGTAAAACTTGGGCACTGTGGTAGTAAGTAATCCCATATTAATTTGCTTATTAGATATATCACACAGTGAAACAGTACTATTTACTGGATGACGCTTCGAACAAAATTTATTTGCAATTAGATTGTCAATATATTATAGTTCAAAATATATGTAAGCGGTGATATGCAAAATTGTGATACTAAATTGAACACCAATAGTACAAAGTAAGTGATTATGAATGATAGTATTAAATTCTCATGAGTCACGTTCATATCAAGTTCCATTCATATTGATTACAGACTACAGATGGATGGGTGATCATGTCGAGGACGGAGGTAGAGAAATGGATTTTCGGGGTTGAAATGTACGTTCCTTGTGTGTCAGTGTGTAAGTTAACGACTACGTTTAAATAAGAGAACAAAAGGTTATTTAATGCAAGTGTAATGACAATGAGTAGGGGAATTTGTGTACAGAATGGAGGGCCATAAAACAAGGGCCGGTGTTATAATGTGACGATGATGGATCCAGTCTCGGGACAGTCGACGACTGGTAAAGATTGTTTAAAAAATCTCCTAGTAATTAGACCCATACGGTGGTTCCATAATTTGCCTTCCTTATCCGAAGTGAGTACAACTTCGCGGTCTGGACGTTTTGCTTTGGACAAAAGCCACGATGGTATTACCAGACTACATCCTGAATAGTTGTACCACAGTTAATTTAAATTGTTTGTATTGCGAAACCCCTAACTCTGATATTTCGCCATAATTTTGTTTATGAGAATTAAGAAGTTATAAAGGGCAACTTCCCAATGAAGCTGCGGAAAAGGAGTTATAGTGAATAGACTTCATTCACATCCATGCAGAGTAGGGTTTTACTGGATTAGAGTGTTACACATTGGGCAAAAATTTCACGACCAAATAATTAGTCGTGAAACAAAAAGCGTACCTGTTAGCTTAGCAGATCAGGCTGCATGATACTGATATTATTACTGACAAGTGCTGTTCCACATTATCACTAATTCAAGTCCATCAGTTAAGGGCTTAAACATCTAGCTGCAATTAAAAAGCTATCCGCACATCAGACCACATAGCCAGGTGTGAGAAAATATTTGCGTATAAAAATTGTAATACTTGTATCATAAGGATACAATGAGTGAGAAAAGGTTTTGAAGTCTACTAATATCCATAATTTATGGATATGATAGTCTAATTCATAGCGCCTCAAGTTGACTGTCCCTTAGTTCCAGTCACACAGCACACCTACACAGAAGAGTAAAAATTGCATCTAGCTACCAAAATCCTGAAAGTTATTTTGGTCAGCAATCGAACACCCTTTTATTAATACAAGTTTTTGGAAATGTAAACAAATTTACAGTAGAAGAAACACTTAACACAAAGTAACAATGAACTTACTGGGAGTGCAAGCTGCATTAGTATCGGGAATAGGACCACTAACTGGAACTTCTCCAGATTTTAAGCATTTACTTATGTACACAGCCTTCCATTTAGCATACTTTCTAGCCTTTTCAATCTAACACAGCAAAAATATATTTCGATCAATCCGTGAATATTGGCTTACATCATCACCAACTTCTCCAACTCCTGAAACAACATCTAACAGTGTCGCTGCTGTAAGAAATAATTTCACAGTAGAACTAAAGCTGTTAGTACATGAAATTAAACGTACGGTCCGAAATCCCCATTCATGTCTTTTTCATAAGCGGCTTTAAACAATCTGAGGGCATACTGTTCAACATATGGTATTCCTATTGTTTCATTCATAACTTCTTCACGATCTGAGTTATTTCGTTTTAATTCTTCTAATTTGTCCATAAGAGATGATAGAAATACTTTGATAGAAGGCGATTTTTGGTTTGTACTTAAACCTTTCTGAAATGCTTGAAGCAGACCTGTAGTTTACTTCGGATAAAAGCCTATTTATACGGCTTACAGTAGTAAGTGATAGTGGGGTCTTTTGTATAATGATCTGTAGCGCATCTCAAGAACACATTTAAATATGCGAGTTCTTTAGGTATTTTTGAAAAATCCATTATAACTAGCTGAAAGTGATAGAAGAGAGTGGAAGTGTAACTAATTATGCATTATATATTTTGGCTCTACTGAATAATAAAGATTTTCAAACTCCCCCCTTATAAACTGAGATATTACCTCCAATTGCTATCCAGCAGCTGTCTTAGGCAATAATTCACCACCATCATACTTTAACACATGGTCGTGGGTCAGATAGTTTTTGCCATTTCACATGGAATTGGGTGGATGATGACCCCCACAAATGACCTGGTACGGCCGAGGATGGATAGAATCCCGTCTTCTTATCGAGGTGCTCTCGTGTGGTCAAACCTACACAGACCCAGCAGCGTAGGCCGCAATGAGGGGTTATTCCCACAAAGTTGAAAGGGGGAAATGAGGATATCCGGCGCCTACCACCGTACTGACGGATATGGAGGTTCACTTATCTCTTCCATCTGCAGATCCGAATAGCGTGTACGACGTGACCTTATCCGGGAAGAGTGGGGTATTGACATCCTGGTCAACTGGTATCGCACCAAGCGCTACTACCGATGTTGTATTACTTTAATGGATTTTGACTAACAGTTTTTTAGGTGCTGTGAGGCTAAAGGGTGATATCATAGAAGAAGCAACTGCCTTATGATCATCATTATCCTCACTGCTAATGCACTGAGAGATATCAGCCAAAATACGATTAAAGATGAGCTTTAGTATCAATTGAGTAGGCTTCTCAACCAACCACATTCCACATATATCGGAGTGCTGGCTGGGAACATGAATGCACAGGAAGGGTGTAAAAGGTGAGAGGAGAGTCGTTGAGCTGGTGGCCTACTCAAATCACTGGACTACCTAAATTTTCTATCCACAAAAGGTATCATGTTTACTCCATTTCGTATAGTGAAATCACAATATTGACTGAAAATTGTACAATATACTCAGGCATATCTCCGAATAGATTCCAACATCCTACTGCGAAATTACTAACGCAAACGTGTAAAAAATTAGGCATCATTGAAAAATGCTCCCGCTAACACAATTTCGCGTCAATTGATAAATCACTGTCTGTCTTATTGCTTGCAATACGATCACTCTAAAGGGAAAGGCTGAACGCAACACGATGTTTCAGGATATCCGTGGCAGATAACGCAGTGAAGATCAACGTTTTGAAGGCTACTTACCAGCAACACAAAAGAGCACAGATAAGCTGGGATTTCAAACAAAGGCGACAAGCTGAAGAAGTTGACTCAATATTTTCGTAAAAGCTTTCATACATAATGTTGCAAAATGGCTTTTTCTATGTGGTTGGTACGTTCAGTCATTTATCTGTTGGCACTATCTGCTGATTGAATTCTAACTTCACCGAATTCGTTGAGTATCGTTCAGCAATATTTTACTAATATACACACAAGTTTAGTCAGTTACAATTCACGTAACTCACAACTTCGCAGGACAGGTATGACGTACGAATAAAGGAGGCGCGCCATGGCTTTCAACATACAATTCTCACAAGGAAGTTAAATTTCCCATTGAGTCCCATAAAAGGAAGAGATACTCCTTTCGACGATATCATTTTCAGGCTGTACAATCGCATATATATGGTGAATTTTCCTAGAAACAAAATGACTATTTCCAAATATTCAGATTCAGGTTAATTGGTTGAGGATAGAAGCCTCGCAATACCAATGTCAACAACAAGTCAAGGAATTATGCACTACAACTTTTACTTTACCGAATACTCCAGCAGATTTTAAATAAACACTTGACGATTGCCAAGTGTTTGAATTTATACATGAATTTAGTAGGATTTAGTAAACTTAAAGCACTTTCGGTTTCCATAGGATTTCTGCATGCCGAATTTATTACTTTAAGGGCCTACACAGATTACAACTTCAATTAAATAACACTGACGTGGAAGAACTTCAGATTCAGATTTATTGGTTGAGGATAGAAGGCTTGGAGCCTATGTTAATCCTTTTCTAGTAGATTTCTGTGTTTGTCAAACCCTTCTTAAACGAATAAGTTGAGGTTGCAGACAACACCTCTTCTGGAGTCGATTCTAAGAGTTTATGACTCGATGTGAGAACCAGTACTCAACAGCCATATGATTTCTTCTTGGCTTTTGAACTCTCCTGCCATGTCCTCTAAGGTGTTCCGACCTGGTGGGAAGGAAAAGAGAGAATAGGTCGGGTCCGTAGTCATTATTTAAAATTTTAAACATCGTGATTGAACCTCCTCTCTGCCTACGGTATGACAGGGAGAAGAGATTTAAACTGTCTAGGCTTTCCTCGTATGATAAGTTACTCATGCCGTGAACCATACGTGCTGGCTTTCTTTGAACCCTTTCTAGAATGTGTGAGTCCCCTTTTAGACAAGGACTGACGGCCTGGATGCAGTTTTGCAGTCTCGACCTCACCAGAGATGCATGTAAGGAGGTAAACATATCTCTGGTGATTCTAGTAAAGGCTCTACGAATTGCCCATAAGGACCTGAAACTACGTGCAGTCACCGCGCGACAGTGTGCTGTAGTTTTTGAGTCGTGGCTAACTATGACACCTAAGTCCAAGTGAGTCTGAACCGATGGAAGTGTTATTCCCTCTAGTTCGTAGGAGCTCGTGCTTGCTTGTCCAATGCACGTGGTGGCACATTTGCCACATTTACCTGGAGCATCCATTCTATGGACCACTCTGACAATTTGTTGAGGTCCTCTTGCAACGTGGACGTATCACTGTTGCCCTTCAGCTCTCTCCAAATTTTTAGTTCACCTGCGTATAGGACTATAGGGGGTTGGTGAGCAGAGATGACTCATTGATATACAAAGTAAATAGGAGAGGTCCGAGTGCCGTGCCTTGTGGCACTCCGCTACGTACTGCTGTCCAAGAGGAGAGTCTCGAGTTGATCCTAACCCTCTGGCTCCTATCTATGAGGAATTCCCTGAGCCAGTTTAGTAGTCTGCCTTTGATACCAAAACTTTCCAACTTCATGAGTAGTCTTTCGTGAGGTACTTTATCAAAGGCTTTGCTGAAGTCTATGAAGACGACGTCAGCTGGTCTTCTGTTATCCCTTGATTTGACCCAGCTTTCTCTTGCAGTGAGGAGATTTGACAGGCATGAGAGGTTCCTCCGGAAGCCATGCTGTGCTCTAGATAACAAGCTGTTGTTTTCCAGATATGACATGGTGCTTTCCTTGATGATTCTTTTCACTGCCTTGATTAAGGTGCCGGTGAGACTGATAGGCCTGTAATTTGAAGGGCTTTGTCTTGATCCTCCTCTGTGGATGGAGGTTACTATGGCGTCCTTGCGGTTGCGCAATAATAATAATTATATATATATTTCACATACATTATGCATTTACATGATTCACATGCCGCTTGTACAGGCATGGTGATATTAGACAAGTTCAGTTCGATATTGAACACTGTTTTCTGAAATTAAAAATTGGAAAATGAATAGAAAACTTTACAAGAAGAGAATGTGAGCTTTTGGTTTAAGTCTAATTTATAATATTTAATATACTCATAGTGAGTCAGATTCATGCGGGAATTATGTAATTTTGCGTTAATGGAATGTAAGAAGAGAGGTGATATACATGTGCTGGAGTAAGCCACACTGGATCCAGACCGTTATTTTTATCATTTTATCAATCAATAAGGGTTCGAAAGTTTATAAAAATACACATTAGATGGTAAGTACAGCATTATATTAGTATTAGCAGATAGAAGGGACCATTTGGGCGCAAAGTTAACTTTGCGATGTTGAACAGAATTCAGAATGGAATCTGTTCCGCTGTTCATCGTGAGGGCTAACAATATCTGGATACCGCTTGTCAATGTAGTTGAAGATTGAACGATCAATTCTTGGTTGTTTGCTCAAAATCAACTTCCTCGATTTTCGCGGAGGCATCAATACGACAGTCATCGTCTCATCGGTCGCTGTTCAGAAAGAAGAGTTAAACATCGTCAGAAGTAACATAACGATTTATTATTGTAATATTTGTTTACAGACCTTAGTTTGCTTAGTGATACTTGATTTATATGCTGGTGTAACAATACATAATACTCAAGTAAACAATTGGTGTTTTGGTTTTTTCGTCCGTTGTTACTAAGCGTTTCTGAGAAATCTTCTAATAACAGCGTGGGCCCGAGCGTAGCAAGAGCTGGGCATTAACGGTTTATGAGACGTGACTGACAGTTTCTGACGATGGAAACAGATCTGGCGGATTCAAACAGTTGGTGAAAGTTTGGATAGTCACCGTTCATCTTTCCTGGTGCCGGTCAAGTCCTCTTTGAACAAGCAATATCTGGAACGTTTTTGGAATTGGGTCAAGTTCAACAATGCCTGGGTCAAAGAAGGGATAGAGCGTCTTGGATGCAAACAGGAAAGTGAGTCATTGTGACTTGTCTGTTACTTGTAACGATGTGTCTGATGTTAAGCATGATATGGTTGATGTTACTGTCTCGCCGTTCAGGGATGATAGGAACATCAAACTCCCTAAATTTGAACCACGGTGTTTTGATGGAAACCCGACTGATTATTTACAATTTGTAAACGAGATTGAGATCATGTTGAGTGCTTTATTATTAAATGATGAATTGAAGTTAATGTATTTGATGAGATATTGCACTGGAGATGCTTCAAGAGCTATACAGTGCTGTAAGTTTATGAAGCCAAAAGAGGGCTACTACGAGGCTATGAGCATATTACGTCAAAGGTTTGGAAGACCTTCGATAATTGCAGGGAAATTATTCGAGGCTGTTAAGGGTAATGGTGGTCAATTACAGGATGACTCCCAGGCACTCACTGAGTTTTTGGATAATTTGCTAATTTACAAGAATGGAATGATTTCGATGAATCGCATGAGTGACCTCAACTCGAGTTTTATACTAGAAGTAATAGCAAGACGTCTACCTACTCGACTGCAAAGGAAGTGGGTGAAGATGAGCTCCCGTATGGAGGATGAGGGTATCGAGCCAAAGTTTGATGATATCCTGAAACTGGTAAATACTAGTGTCAATCAAACTATGGGCAAGTTCGCCAGTCTATTACATCTCACCCCTAGAATAGAGCAGTCTGAGGGTAAAACGCAATCATTGATGACGAGTTGGCCTCAGAGAGGTGGATATCGAGAAGGCTCCATGATGTCTAGTAATGCATATAGACCTAGTGAGTGTAACAGGTTTCGTAGTACATCCTCAACAGATAAGTTACAAGATACAAGACAAACACGTTTGTGCTTGACACGTGTGCAAGAGGTGCATACAGAAGTGAACTGTGAACCAGTGAGCAAGTTCAGTGATAAGCTAAATGTAAACTCTGGGTCTGACTCCGAATTGTGTGACGATAACGGTGCGGTGAAGGAGTCTGTAGTTGCATCTGGTAAGCCATTGTTGAATAGAGTGTCACAGAATAGAGTTGCTGCTTCAGAGTCCAGTTCTGACTCCACAAGTTTACAAGGTATTACTAGTCAGAGTGAAGTTATAAAACCTTTTAGGATTCGCGAGGAGGAACCAAAATTGTCTACTTCTGTTAACAAAGAGTTTGAAAACGATGAGATTCACGGTAAAGTGAATATTCATGATAATGATCATGATACTTCACATTTGTCTTTGGTTGATCATGATGAGATGAGGGATATGCCTACTACTGCTAAGTTAAACAAAGGTTCTGTACAACTACAACGTGAAGTAGAATTGAACGCAGATGCAGTTCCAGAAGTTGTGCGTACTTGTGGGACCGTCAGCGTGATTGATCAGCATGTAGCCCACCTATCATCAGATGATAGTGCTAAACCTGGGCTGATAGTAAAACACAGCAGTGGTGGTGGTCTTGCAGGTGGAGAAATTTCTGAAAGCCGAAAACAACAGCTTTTGATCCACTGATAAGTTCATCATCTTGTGTCACTCAGTCATCGTTGGTGTTTTTATCCACAATGAAATGTACGTCCATGAACTCACGTGCCTTATGCAATGACTATGATAGTTGTCAATGGAGTTGAAGATTGAACGATCAATTCTTGGTTGTTTGCTCAAAATCAACTTCCTCGATTTTCGCGGAGGCATCAATACGACAGTCATCGTCTCATCGGTCGCTGTTCAGAAAGAAGAGTTAAACATCGTCAGAAGTAACATAACGATTTATTATTGTAATATTTGTTTACAGACCTTAGTTTGCTTAGTGATACTTGATTTATATGCTGGTGTAACAATACATAATACTCAAGTAAACAATTGGTGTTTTGGTTTTTTCGTCCGTTGTTACTAAGCGTTTCTGAGAAATCTTCTAATAACAGCGTGGACCCGAGCGTAGCAAGAGCTGGGCATTAACGGTTTATGAGACGTGACTGACAGTTTCTGACGATGGAAACAGATCTGGCGGATTCAAACAGTTGGTGAAAGTTTGGATAGTCACCGTTCATCTTTCCTGGTGCCGGTCAAGTCCTCTTTGAACAAGCAATATCTGGAACGTTTTTGGAATTGGGTCAAGTTCAACAATGCCTGGGTCAAAGAAGGGATAGAGCGTCTTGGATGCAAACAGGAAAGTGAGTCATTGTGACTTGTCTGTTACTTGTAACGATGTGTCTGATGTTAAGCATGATATGGTTGATGTTACTGTCTCGCCGTTCAGGGATGATAGGAACATCAAACTCCCTAAATTTGAACCACGGTGTTTTGATGGAAACCCGACTGATTATTTACAATTT